ATGCGCTGAGCTATAGAAGAGAGAAGGGGCTCTTTAGAACCATTCCGTCAGTCGGTCTGGCTCTCCCTTGTAAACCCCGTCGTCGAGCAGGCACGTGTTACCACGGAACACGTGCCTCTTCGACAACGAATCACCCAGCTCTCATAATCCACGCAGCGCTCATTGATCGGCACGCGCTGCTGCTCTACGACCTGGAAATCCCGCCAATAAAGTGACCGCGTTAGGCGAGAGATGTGAGTCGTCCGGGTGACGTATTATTACAAATAATGGCGCGCAGAACGATTGATCCCGCTCCGATTTTACAAAGTTTTCGGATATTTCCTCGATTAAAGGTATCGCGTAACGGTCAAAACAAAATAAAAGTGTTTGTGCAATGTGGTGTTAAGGATATACAGGTCAAAGCGGTTCAAGTAGTTTAATAGCAATAACAGTTTCTGAGATAGAAAAGTGTGTAAGATTAAGATCCGCTTCTAGGTTAGTCAGTAGCTTGAAAATAATTCTAGTTGGAATAATTCTAGTCCTATAAAACTCGAAACTTTTTGTTAGAGATAGCTTGTCTTAAACTCTACTTTGTATTTTATATTTAGAAAATACAGATACGTGATACATGTAAGGTTATAATAGCTTATTATTCTCCTTTTGAAAACACAAGATCAGTATGCATAGCTCGCAAATTACTTCCTACACTGTATACTGCTTACGAAACTTAAACCAACCTTTTGGATACAAATTTAGTTTCCGACAAGCGGCAAGTAACCTCACTGAAAAATCAGTAAGGGTTTCGTCTAGAGCTATAGAACATCGGTTAAGGATTAATCGATTGATCCTCCGTGATCCTCCTTACGAACTAAAATCCTAGAATATTCTTCATTCGTAAAAGAGGTGCTCGTGAGGATTGACAGTAGTGATCGGCAGCGTCGGCGGTGGCATTGCCTTGAATGAGCATGTAATCCCCCGTAACTATTCAGTAGCGTGCGTTTCCGATCCGTCTGAAACATTCTCTGTTCGTTGCTTCCACAATGGGCATAAGCGGCGTTTTCTTGCCAGACATTTACGAGTTCCTTGTCCATTGTAATGTCGTTGTCGCCCTACGTATTAGTGTTTGTAGTTTTCGCCGCTCGCACAGAATTCTGCATTCTCTAATATGTCCATTACAAAAGTTACTTGGTTCGGGAAGAAAGACAGGAATATCATCAGTGATGAGTTTGATCTTGAGTATACGCGTAAGCGTCATGTAAAAATTGACTTGAATATTTTTTAAGTATACACGGAAAAAATGATGTATCAGCATCATTTTTTGTATCAACAGCATCAGTTATTGAGATAAAATTTATCGATGCAACATCAATATTAATGAACAAAAAACATCAGATAATTGTTTTAATAATTTGAATAATTGGTCCAATAATATCCAATTGAATTAACTATTTATGCTTGTGGCAGCCCATGACGTCGACGTCTAATTGAAGCAACTTCATTTTTTTCCGTGTAGAAACCCATGTTTTTTATATGACAGTCTTTATCTACTCATAAATCCTAACAAATTTTCAGCCTAACGCGGTCTGAAACTTTACTTTATTTAGTCAACACATTTTCAGATTTATAATATTTTAAATTCATGCTTGTATCATTCGATTTACGTATCAATACATTGTGAACACAATAAATATTCTAGACGTTGCAAAAATGATTTCTTAATATTCTAACGTCACTGAATTTCTTCCTTTTTTCTTATTTTTCTTTAAAAATTGCTATTCTACAATTTAAAACACATTATCTCCTTACCTAGTTTGCAATGGTATCATATGTCACCTTGGTAATAACGTGTTGATGTATGTACAACGATTCAATTGTAGACGAAAATATACGAAGATTTATGTCGCAACTGTCACACTTAGAAATCGAGGGTTCTATGCGCACGCCTTGGTTCGTTTGTGCTCCCGAATGTTCGCTGTCCGAACATTTATAAAGTCCTGCTCATTGTAACGCCCGTTGTGGACCCCGCGTGTAACCGGCCCGACCGCTCATTGTCGCGTCCTGCTTCTCTATACACGCACGAGATTCGCGCGTGCCCGCGGCTTGCTGGCCGCAGACAATGGCGACAATGACCACTGGGTGGACCATTTAGCTTAGAGGCGACCCGAGAATGACCAGCCGGACTGCGGAAAGCGCGGACCTTTTCCGCAGCTCAAGGTGCGACCTTTTAAGCGTCGAATTGCATTGCTCGCCAGGCATTGATCTCCGAGACTCGATATTTCCCTGTTCCCTGATGTTAGACATAGAAATGTTCATAATGCTTGATTATTATCAATCAAATCTTTAATTCGTAAATTATGCGTGCAGAATTTTATCGCAAATCTTTGGAGTTTGGATTTTTAAGTGTTGGATTTCAAAGTCCTTGAAATCATTGCTTTTCAAGTAACTTTAAGTTTAAATTCAAATTTTTATAAACAAGTTTTTCCTTTATCGAGTTTAAAAATTCTTGAAAGGTTTTTTTGTAATCTTTTAGTGTTTTTTGTTAAACAATCTACTCAAAACTTTACTCGATTTCATTCAAGTTTGGAGTTTCCAGTACTCAATTTGAATTTACGATCCTGGTTTCTAGCTCTGTCTATGTTACTGCTCGAAACCGGAAGACTAAAGAGCGAAAATTCAGCAAACGCAAGCCCTTTCAACCAGGATCGCAAGGGTTTTAGCCAGAGACAAAGCTCAAAAGCGCCAGCGGCTCTCTTGAACCTGACCACCACTTTCAATTCGGAAGCTGCTTTACGGTTTACCGCTCGTAAACCATTCCCGGGTTGTGAAAGAGAATAATACCGAAAATATTGGAGAGTTTCAAATGTCCAAGCATATTTCCGCGCGCTATTTTGCGATGGCGAACAAAGGCATGATCGCGATTTACTGGAAGCAGACAAAGTTCTTTTTAAGTGAAATTTTTAAGTAAATATTAAGTATTTTAAGTGAACAACGCGCGCAAAAATTACAAAGTAATTTATATGCAATTACTCCATTTCTCATTACTCTCTATATTTATCCCAAATGATATAAAATCTTCAAATTATATAATATCTTCGAAAATTTGAACGCAAAGCCATCGAAAAATAGTTACATTAAATAATGATTAATTCATATTTATATCCTTTCTTTCTCTCCTTTATTTTGCATTATCCTCCCTAGTTGATGCAACACATCTTACGCAATTTTACTTGCGACAATACTGCAGTTTAGATGGGACGTCGTTCATCTCGAGGTTGCTCTTTATCAACGATTCATCTCGCACTAGAATTTGAATACACAGTCTCGCGAGACGCAACATGGTCCCAGGGAGTAACCTAGGAGTCCATCTCATGCAGCGTCGACAGCTCACTTTGTCGACGTGTTTTTCTGCATTCCGCTGGTCGGTTTCCCTTGTAAACACTCACCGCGGAATAAGGCGACTGCGGGCAACGATGATAACGACGGCGCGGGTCAAGTGGGACGCGAGTGCTGTTTTCGCGGATTCCATCATCGGGACACCACCCGGGCATCGCATCAGGAATTTCTGATCGGAGAGCGACGGTTTCCGTCTACGTTGTGACGAAACCGGTTTCTCTTTATGACGGGATATCGAATGGTCACTCTACGGTGTCTCTTTCTCCCCCTCGGCTCGGAACTTGTCTCTCTCCCCCACTTCCACGTCGTTTTTTGAGCAAAACGCAACCGTGACGAGAGGGTAAAGGGTTTAAACATTACGCTGGAACAGAAAAAATGCTGTTTGTTTTTATTGTGTGTATCTCTTTGTAAGAAGTGCCTGATCTTGTGAAAGCTTAAGGAATTCTGTTTGAGAATCATAAAAATGTTACGATAGTCTATCGTGAGTATTTGTCCATTGACAGTAATGTCCATTTTTACCTATGCTGATTAACTTTAATCTCAGTTTCATTTACTTTTTATCCTTTTCTACTTTTAAGAATTAGAAAAAGATAAAAAGTAAGTTAAACCGAAATTTTAAAGGTAACGCAGATTAATTTTAATCTCAGTCTAACTTACTTTTTACCCTTTTCTAATTTTGAGAATTAAAAAAAAATAAAAAATAATGTATTAAATCGAGATTAATGTTAATCTGCATTGGTACAAATGGTCATAAATATAATATCTAAGAAAAATAAGTCATTATTCTGCAACACCTGTTTTGTACTGATGAGAATTATTAAGTTAGAAAAAGAAAAGTATCAATTTGTATATAATACGTATTTGATTATACATATATCTGGACATCTTATATCTCTATAAATACATGATTCCATTTTTCATATTTTAGAGTATAATATTGATTGACGTACAGTATCAAGTTTTAATGTACATATAAATGTCTTCTAAGTTGTCATAAAAAAGACATTGAAGAGATTTTAGAGGATATAAAACTCTCTTCAAACGGTTATAAAAAAACCTTTGAAAAAAATTTTAGAAGAAACATTACGGTAGAAAAATGTATATTTAAATTCGAGAACTTATTTCGCTTTTAAAATGTGTAACTGTAATAAAGTTCTTACATGGATATGACACTCACCAGAAACTTACTAGAAATGTCAGAGAAAACTCTCCTATAATCATAAATTTCACGTTTCAAAGCGGAGGAAAGCTTATGGAGGAAAGAGATGTTTTTCTTCTTTTGTCGAGGAAGAAAAGATCTTCTGGTATTTCAACACGCACAATTTATGATTACCCTGGAGGTTACGACAATGCGTGGCGCAGCGCGCAGCGGCGCCGGCTTCCTTTTCTCCCTCGGTCTTCCTTCTGCCCTTCTCGAGGCAAACCCGTTCGCCGGGAATGAACGCTTCATCACAGCGCGCGCGAGACGCAAAAGGGGTAGTGCCCACATATCGCGCGACGAGTGGGGTGGCGTGGGAGTGGCCTCACGCGTGCCCAGTGCCCGCCCCTTTTCGCGATGTTGCCACTGATTCCGATTTCGTCGCCAGGCGGCGCTGCCAAACACCCGGGAACTGGACTCGGCCTTGCCGGTACCCTCACTCCGTATCGCGGCTCCGGCTCGTCGGAACCGTTCGGAACCTTACCTTGGCGCAGCAGAGTCGTTCCTCGTCTCGTGCGCATCAAAAGCTCCGTTCGCCGTCGCGTTTTTCTCACGGAGCACATGGTCCCGGAAGATCACCCCCTTACACTGAACGTTCCTCCGGGAGTAAAGGAACAGTTACGAATGGGTGATCCTTCATCAGTGTGACCAGTGGGCGAATTATTTGTTCAGTGCGAGTGCGCGAACGCTCAATTCGGTGGTTCTTTTTTTTTCTTTTTGGTCGTCGCAGTGCACCGGGGGGCGATATGGAGTATAGACCGCGAAGTACAAATTCTGGATTGTCGATGACACCGATGACGGATAGCGGACTTCAGTGCTAATCTGTGAAGTGGCATGGGTGTTCCTCGCGTATGATAATTCGCGGGACTGTCGTCAATTTCGTTATAAAGAATCGCGAGATGCGCCCGTGAGGGTTCCTCCCTCGACTATTTTCAAAGGTGTCACGGAGGGATTCAACCCCCTCTGCGTTAGTGTCGTGATATCGGGGAGTGTTTGCGGGGGGAGGTAACGCGAGAGAGGAGAGGACTCGAGGGGTGGACGGTAGAGGTGGAAGGAAGAGAGGACTCGAGCCACAGCGGACGCCATCTCCGCGTTATCGGCAAGCGGACCCCTCGGGACTCCCCCCCGAGCAACATCGGCGTCGCGCACCCTCGGCGGGAACTACCCCGCGACAGCGGCCACCCTGATGGGAGTGTATGAGGAGCGCCCTCCTACCACCGGCATGCACTGGGTGAGTGTCATCCCTGTGTCCGCGTTGCCCATTGGCCGCTGCGCACCAGCTGGTACACCCCGCCCGGGGCGGAAGCTCCTCGCTCAGATTGCGAATCTGCGATAGCATCTTTGCCTTCGCCAGCATTTCTCCCTATCGAATTCAAGATGGTGAATCTAGGGCTGCTTACGCTTTTGCGAGTGCAATTGAATTTTCAAGAGCTTGCTCTCCAATTCCGTAATTTTAATCGGCGTCCACCAAGTATATCGGGATTTGATTTGTGCAACGTGACAGGGTCACTTCTGATAACGTGCATTGTGAAAATACAAGAGACACGAAATGACTTATACTTTACGATATAGAAATAATCAGAAGAATAAAAACTTAATTAAATTATTCGTTAATATTTTTTTGAGGGGCGAGAAGGGTCTTAACTTTTGATTGATGTTTCAATTGTCAGTCGTGTTTAAAAATCAAACGCTATTAGAAAAATGGATGCCAATTGTACCCTTTCTGAGTTAATTTTATACAGTCAAATGAAATTGACTGCTTGTTCTCCTCTTTGTTTTCGGCAAAGATAGCATAAAATCTTTTGTAAACATTTGAGATAACGATACAGAAATGGAAAAAAATCAATCAAAATTTGTTCAACAAATCCCTTTATCTCAGCTGATTATTATTGTAACATTTGATCTGACATTTCTCAGTTTGACATTATAGGAAATTGGATGACAGATTAATATTGAACATAATTTGTCTAGATTGAGAAATAAAATCAATTTTTATTTATATATGTCTTTACCGGTATTTTTAAATATATACTGCTGCAAAACTATGCAAAGAATGGAAAGTATTCATATATTATTTATTTAATGTGTACAAGTAATTTAAAGTAATAGACTGAATATTTTTTCTGGTCTTATCAAATAATTATGAATAATAGAGCTAGAATTGAAAGAAGAATTATTTCAATAAGAAACTTTGTCATTTCGACTCAAAAAATGTGCATTTTCTTTCACTTCCCAATCTTTACATGAATTGTTTGTATCTCTAATTTCCTAAATAAATAACAGAATTAACAATTTTACTTTAAACTTGCATTAAAATAGTCAGGAAATGAAATTACTTAGCTCAGTTACAAAATAACGTTGCAGCAACAAAATAGTTTAATATAGATTCGCACGAATATAGAAAACGGGCTAATTAAGAATCAGGCGCGGTAAATGATGCGCAAAAGTTTTATTTATATTTTTATTTTACATATTTACCAACCCATTTAACTGCGTGCCAACTAGATTTGTCAGACTTGAAACACAGCTCCGGTTGGAGTAGTAAAATTCCCCCCTCTATACCTAATTAAATCGATTCGATATAATTTTTGATGCTATATGCATCTAAATAACTGTAAAGAAATCATTGCGAAAAATATTACCTCAGCCAGGGTTCGAACCTGGAACTTCCTTCGTTCCGTGAAGGTGTCGTACCAATTCGACCACTAGGCATGTATTATGTAAAATAAAAATATAAATAAAACTTTTGCGCATTTACCGCGCCTGGTTCTTAGTTAGCCCGTTTTCTATATTCGTGCGGATTTCCATTGGAACCTATACTTCAAATTTTAATGTAAATTATTTTGACGGTTTTCTGTAGCAATCAAATTATACAATGCAGACAAATTTATGTACAAAATCTTGTAATAATGTCAGTAATAATACGAACTGTCGTAAAACTGACAGGTCCTCTCTAGTCCTATATTAATAGATTGTAGTTTTCTCCCTCTTGATTCTGTGATTTCGCTCAGCTATTTTCATAACATAGTCCACACATATTTTCTGTTTCATCACAGTAGAATGTGCGTGCGCGCGCACGACTGACATAAAACTATAATACAGACTCTAATACTTGTTAGGTGTCCATATTTACGGAATGATATATATATATCAAAAGTCTAAATATAACTTTTAAAACGGCGTCAATATTTAAGATCTACATCAATGGAGAAATCAGTAAAACGTCTGAAAATATGATATGATATATTATCGAGGAAATATCAATTCGGATTATTCGATGAAACCAGTTTTACGTAATAGCTTTGGCAAAACCGGACTACAGCTTTAGATTCATGTGAGAATATGGTTTTGTACGAGTGTTTGATGAACATAGATTTTGATGACAACACAGAATTTATGTGCAGACATATAAATAATCTCTCTGCCTTTGCCAGCGCTAGAATTTCATCATTATTATCACCATCAATGGTGTTGAAGTCCGATTTGAACCTTGGCCCCCTACAGAGAAGCTATCTTATGTGGACTTTGGCTTCTTTCTGAATTCATTACAATCACAATTTTTATAGGAAATTCTCATAAGCATCTTGTGGTTCGATCTTTGAAGGGCCGAATTTTGTTTTCGAAACTTATTCGTTATTGCTGCTATTGTTTGAGGGTTTTCTGTTCAGGGACGACGCAATACCGCGATTTGTTTATCCCCAGTTACTTTAAGTTCACAATTCAGGTATTTTCTTAACGCTGGAATTTACGTGTTTCAAATAACATTTTAAATTTGTATTCACTGAGTTTATTTTACGGTTTATTATATAACAAACCTTATAATCTCTTTGTCGTGTGACCGTCGCTGCAGTGTCGAATCAGCTTGATTTGAAAGTATAGGTATGACAGAACGTCATGTAGGTTGAACTTAGCTCGCACAGGTGCGATTCCGAGATGTGCGACGGGCGCACTCCAAAGTACAGATCCGACCACAAAACGTCTTGGACTTTATAAAATGATAAACTTTATGATACTATTCTAAACGACATTTTATCAGTATTAGGAGTTGGAGGATATTAATAGTTACATAATAAATTCTTTTGCAACAAGTTACTATTTAAAATAAAGTCTAAAAATCCACTTTTATCGAACGTGAAATCGATGTGAAATGTTAATTTACGCCACTGCGAGAATCGCAGTAAATATAAACGAATTTGTTATTTTGAAAAGATTATAAACCGTAAACGACTTTAATCATTAATTTATTGAACTGCAAATATAAATTTATGTTCGATATACTGAATTATTGATAATTCATCATTTATAGGCACATATCTTCTAGTTGGGAAGTGGACTTTAAAGGCGTAATTATATCGCAGTTTGACATTTGGAAAGATTATCTAAAGGTCATAGTACGTTATGTAGAATGACTGATTCTGCGCAAATTTGATATGATTAATTTACCCGATTTACCGCCAGCAGATACGCACTAATTAATATTTAAATCAAATTTCTTGAGATTAACCCTTAACTAGCACACGTCCGCGATCGAATGTTATCTACACACGGAGTGTTGTACACTTTGAACGTTGAGTACGGCGAAATGGAGGCTCCAATAGGCTTGAAAAAAATGAAGTACATACATTAAACACTGGAAAATGATACCCATTAGCTTAAACTATGAAATTTTTAGTTTTAAGGCTTCAAAAAAAATCTTGAAATAAATTTGTTATGAAAAAAAAATGGTTATTAATTAATTTTATGCGAAATTCATAGATTAACCGACCGAGAAAGATGCCTAAACTTGACGAAATTCGTTTTGGGGTGTTTGACACCCCGCGTGCTAGTTAAGAGTTAAAAGACAAAATTACAGATAAGAAAGTAAGATTGTAAATAACTACGTATTACATTTTTATGTGGAAGTTGTCCCGAGAAATTTTGACGTCAAAATTAATTTCTATTAAATTGACAAGCGCAACAATAATGTTTTAAAAATATATTTGTTATGATTTAACCATTTCTGATGACAAAACTATGATCCAATCGAGTGAACTAATAAGAAAGTTCAATAGGCGATTTTTATTCGGAAGTTGAAAGCAGCGGGATTACGTGGCCAGGTGTGATAACATAGTCCACCTTCGAGTAACATTAATTTGCTCTTAATCAACCGGTCGAGGCCGTCGCAAGCAACGAGTACCTACTGCTTGTAAACAAACGTAATTAATTGTCCCTTGTCGACGATTAATTAAACTGACGCATTAATCACGTGTGCGCCAATGAAAGAAGCGTAAAATAACATTGCTGAGGAAAATTAATGCGATGTCTCTTCCTTTAAATTACGATCCACGAAACACTATTAATCAACGTTCGATGAAAAAAATATTTATGCTTCTTAGAAAATGTCCAAAAATTGTATATTATTAGTATTTCATATTATAAATATAAATTATCGTTTTATATCATGTCGGTCTATTCAAACAATTATGTGGAATTTTAAAACAGAAATTAAACATACACAAATATATTTGCATTTTAGAATTCGAATTTCAAGCTTTTAAAAGCGATATAAGCGATACACAAGAAAAGTAGGCTTTCTGTTGTGGAGAAATAATTTACGAATATTTTCCATCTTAAGCAAACGGAAATGTAATTAGCATAGAGATATTACAGTACGAAATTTCGTGCAAGCCATATATCTTCTCAACTTTTTATAATGCTCTTTCCTTTCAAAAGAAAATTTTACAATATAAATATGCATATTATGATAATAAACGAGTAAATCAATAAATTTATTCACGCCCATTAAACGTGTATAAATAAAATGAAATTAATAAATACAACTAATTTAGATTTAAAAATGAGTTTGTACATTTTCATTGGCAATTAATCGAGGCCGAAATATGAGAGTTCCAAGGACTGGTTTTGAGCTTTCATTATGCATAAGTTACACGCGTTTATCTGCGTTTAAATAATTTTTGTTCGATTTATGTATAATTTAAGTAAAAATAATATTTCTTTTATATTTGACATTTAAGATTTAAGATTATTTTGAGCTTATATAGTTAAACATTACACGCGTTAGAGAGAGATTGGACACGTGTATGCGTCCATTGAATATTCCACGGATGCTGATACATGCTTCGCACCGTTCGGAAAACCGTTTAATTCACAGTTGCCGTCTCTTCCGGGAAAGCGCATCGAGCTTATCAACGATATATCATTCGATTTGGCGTCGATTAGTCTCACAGCGCG